TTGTGTTTTATCCTTTTTTCAATATACATGTGCCCTGAAAACTATTATTTTTTACTAGAATTAAACACTCTATAAAAAATTAACAATTAGTAAACTAGGTGATCAACATGAATAATCTGCCAGTGTCATCTGAAACAAACAGAAATGCCAAACATTTGATGGTTCCAGCTTCTGAAAGACTTGTTTTTCCAGTCCTGTGTTTTACGGAACAAAATATCCAATAACCGGAAGAGCTGATGAGCTTCAGCTACTAAAAATAATCATTAGCTGAAGCTCTGCTGTCGAAAGCCTCCTTGAGAAAATGTGTTTGTGTGTCTAATAGATGGCGTTTTCCTCCTGTGGCATGCAATGCGAACACTGAGTGTCTTAACGGAGGAGTTTGTATTGGAGGCGACTCTGGGGGCAACTGTACCTGCAAGCCAGGATATGCTGGAGACAGGTAGGAGTACGACACTGCACACACTCCTCTTCCACACCCTGTACTTTTAAAAGTACATCTGAACCACATCTAAGTAGAAAGGTCAGAAGGGCACATGTGAGCTGCTGCTCTGTCAGTCAGTATTGTGCTAAAACCTTGCTGATGTGTTTCAGGTGTGAGACAGAAATAGATGAGTGTGAGTCCAGCCCTTGTCTCAATGGTGCCACCTGTCTGGACAGACTCAACCACTTCCAGTGTGTGTGTGTGTCAGGATACACTGGCACGCTTTGCGATAGCAATGTAAGTGACGCACAACTCCATTCACCAAAACTAGTTGTAAGTTAATGTGCTTAGTTCTGCTCGATGGGTTTGCAGTTTGAAATGCCTTTATTTGAGTCAGGTTTCCTTTAGCTACAAGAGAAAATGATTAAACTTCCAGAGCAGTGCTTGAAATTGTGCTTCAGTCTTTATCCACACTTCAAACTAAGCTGGTCTGTGCTGTTCTCTTGCAGAAAGAGGAACAAACAGAGCGAGTTCCATGGTTGGCAGTGGCCATTCCTTTGACCACTCTATGTGTCTTACTGGCCATCCTGGTGGTGTTTTTTCTCATCATGACAGCACGAAAGAAGCGTCAATCAGAGGGCACATACAGCCCCAGCTCACAGGAGGTAGCTGGGGCCAGACTGGAAATGGGCAGCGTCCTCAAAGTGCCCCCAGAAGAGAGGCTTATCTAAGGCTTGAAGCCTTTCCTCACAGACTTACATCCAAAGGATGCATATTAAGGGCGAGAGATCAAATAGTCCTCAGTGTTATCCTTTGCACAAGGAAAGAGGTAACAAAATAATCAGTATCACATTTTCTCTCTAGAAAAACTTGTGACATTCACAACTTATAGGTGAAGACTTCAACGTGGATGCTGACAGAGGCAAACTCAGACTGCGCTGGTAGAAAGAGTTTGGTCATTCGATGTTTAGCTCTCGTTGGGCGTTGCTTTTCACACTAAATCTGTTTTGCATAAATAAAAAGGAAAGACGAAAAAAACTGCACCACAACAAGGGCTCGGGAGTAGAGCGAGAGCACCACAGAGCCCAACACGTGGAGCTGAACTCCAAAGTGCTCAGGTCCAGATCGAGTCTGAGCTTTTATGGGATGTGATCAGAAGCTAAACGGACCAAAATGTCTGCTGCTCGTCCCAGTGACAGACCCCATGTTTTAACTGAGAGAGCCAACGTTAGGTTTTCACGCTGTGGCTGATCTGTGCATGTTGCGCACTACTTTGTTCCCCACTATTTGTGGTAGTTGTAGTTACACACTGAAGTTTTAGATTTTTCTGGAGCCAGACGTCATTTTTATATCCGTCATCTCTTTTGCCATATTGGGTTTTGCCATCTGATTTTCCTTTCTTTCCTTCCACAGTGAAGCTTTTTTGTCTGAAAGAATGCATTTTGAATTAAATTACCTTGATGTTAAATTTCTAATTCAAGAATGCTGCCAGGGATTCCACTTGCCTAATATAAACGATGTCCCACTGGAAAAGAGCATTGTTAACGTTTTAAAATCAGTCAGGTTACGAGCGACTCAACTACAGTCAGGCGTTGGGTATTGGCTAAGTTGATACAGTGGGGCAAAAAAGTATTTAGTCAGCCACCGATTGTGCAAGTTCACCCACCTAAAATGATGACAGAGGTCAGTAATTTGCACCAGAGGTACACTTCAACTGTGAGAGACAGAATGTGAAAGAAAAATCCATGAATCCACATGGTAGGATTTGTAAAGAATTTATTGGTAAATCAGGGTGGAAAATAAGTATTTGGTCACCTCAAACAAGGAAAATCTCTGGCTCTCACAGACCTGTAAGGTCTTCTGTAAGAAGCTTTTCTGTCCCCCACTCGTTACCTGTATGAATGGCACCTGTTTGAACTCATCATCTGTATAAAAGACACCTGTCCACAGCCTCAAACAGTCAGACTCCAAACTCCGCCATGGCCAAGACCAAAGAGCTTTCGAAGGACACCAGGAAAAGTATTGTAGACCTGCACCAGACTGGGAAGAGTGAATCTACAATAGGCAAGCAGCTTGGTGTGAAAAAATCAACTGTGGGAGCAATCATCAGAAAATGGAAGACATACAAGACCACTGATAATCTCCCTCGATCTGGGGCTCCACGCAAGATCTCATCCCGTGGGGTCAAAATGATCATGAGAACGGTGAGCAAAGATCCCAGAACCACACGGGGGGACCTGGTGAATGACCTGCTTCTTACAGAAGACGTTACAGGTCTGTGAGAGCCAGAGATTTTCCTTGTTTGAGGTGACCAAATACTTATTTTCCACCCTGATTTACGAATAAATTCTTTACAAATCCTACCATGTGGATTCATGGATTTTTATTTCACATTCTGTCTCTCACAGTTGAAGTGTACCTCTGGTGCAAATTACTGACCTCTGTCATCATTTTAGGTGGGGGAACTTGCACAATCGGTGGCTGACTAAATACTTTTTTGCCCCATTTGCCCCTATTAACAAACAAACAAACAAAAACTGCAATGCCAAAGGATTTGATGAGACTTCGTCGTAGTTTTTCAGAAAACAAAACCCAAACATAACTCTAACCCTCACCTTAGTTGTGTTGCTGGTGACCTGGTGGATGTTAAGAGGTTAAAGTACAATGCAGTATTACTCACGGAGCACATCTGGCTCGGGTTTGTGTGAATAAAACAGTACAGAAAGTTCCAACACGTAACATACCGACGCTACGTGACAAATCCTCGGCATGTTCAGAGGCATGAGAGCCGTTTGGAATGAATCTCTACATGTCAATATGTTTTACATTCTGACCATGAATCACTTTAGAAAACACTGTCTGATAGGGTCAGGCTTAGAGCAGGAGTGTGCAATCTCAGTCCACGAGGGCCGGTGTCCTGCAGGTTTTAGATCTCACCCTGGGTCAACACACCTGAATCACATGATTAGTTCGTTACCAGGCCTCTCGAGAACTTCAGGACATGTTGAGGAGCTAATTTAGCCATTTAAATCAGCTGTGTTGGTTCGAGGACACATCTAAAACCTGCAGGACACCGGCTCTCGTGGACTGAGATTGCCCACCCCTGGGTTAGATCCTCTGCTCTAAGCGTGTGTGAGCGCCGCGAGCGGCATTCTGTTGGATTCAAGAGTCCGGAGCGTCTCATTTCACGCTACATTGAGACACCTCGGTCCGTGACAGATCGTCGGTCTGTTACGCGTTGGGAATGAGAATCTCTGGAAAGTTTGTGTGATGGAAAATGAGATCAGAACTCTAAACAGAGCGTTTGGCGAGACGTCGCTGTGGCGAGACGTCGCTGTGGCGAGACGTCGCTGTGGCGAGACGTCGCTGTGGCCTAAGTAGGAGTAAAAAAACTAACTGCTGTATTATATTGTCAATGTGCACTGTATGACTCAACACAGTCAACCACACCATCCATTCTTTATTATTGAGTAATTATAATGTCATTGTTGTTTGCATGTCTCTATGCTGTGTTTACTTTGCTGCAAAAGTTGAAACCACTGAATTTGTTTTTATGTTTGTTTATTTTGATGTATTTTTCGTGTCAGAGCGTTTTGTTGTAGAAATGTTACTGCTGTAGTCCGAGGAGGTCACACCTGCATTTGTGGACGTGAATACACAAAGGAAACACACACATACCATTATTACATGTTTATACATTCCAGTGTTTATCCACTGTGGCCAACGACCAATCATTTCGCTTAATTTAAGCCTGTTGTTTTATATTGTTTCATAAATACTGATCAGACTGAATTTGACCTTGAGAGTAATGTAAATAATTCCTCATTCAAGTTAACAATTACAGGAATATTTGAAAGTTGGAAAGTCTGTGCATTTGTAGTCCTGTTCACCTGCTCGCTTGCCTTTTACTCTGTATTCACGGGTGCTGCTGACCTTTACAGTTAATGGATGGTGCAGAGGTCATACACTCATGTAAAACTTTAAAAATCATGGAAAAACACAAACAAGTGACATACAAGTGACAGCTGAATATTGTGAATGTTTCATGTTTGAAGTTTACATTGATTTTGTTTCATCCAGCCAATTACATCTGCCCTAATACAGATCGGTGGCCAAAAGTATATTCATATCCGTTTCTGTTTTATTGGGTTAGTGAGGTGCCGGATTTCCACTGAGGAGCAAAGCTGCTGTTCTACTCGAGACAGTTCTTAAGGAAGGTTTTTCCGATTGTGAGGTTACAATAAACACGATGAACCAACCCAAGTGATGGTTATATATCATAGCTTAGTTTTATTTCGCATAGGATGTGTAGAAGAGAAACGTGCTGGCAGACTGTGTTATAGTTCAGATGTTTTGGTGCTCCGACAACTCTTACACTTGTTCTTGGTTTGGTCTTTTCTTTTGCTAAAGGAACAGTTCAGTTCAGTTATGTGCTTATAAATCTCTGTTTTACATGTCATTGTATGTTAATTCCAAACATAAATGTTCTTAATTGATTTGTGGAAGAACTCACGCCCATACAGCACATTTGGAAGGAAGTGGAAGCCAAAACTTCGACCTGAATATGAAATGCTGTTGATAAACATCAGCTGGGCAATGAGGACTACGGGGAGGGAAGCTTTTACACCTACACATTAATGCTCAGAGTTTTTCTTATTATCTTAAGCAGTGTTATATCCACATAATTCTGCTCATTATCTGTATATTTTTTGAAGATTTAAAACGTTAGAGTTTAAGTTACAGTTTACCTTGTGTCCTCTGTATGCACAGAGTTTAATCGTAAATGCAGAAATGGACACCCCAAGCAAACATCCCAATCATCAAGGCATGACATATATAAATTTAAGAGAATAAAAATATTCCTGCACTATTTACTGGAAATTCAGAGGTTTTATTTGCAAGTCTTGCAACCTGGATGCCCTTTAATATGTAAGTGTTGGCTGGACTATGCTGGTGAGATAAATGTGGTTATTCATGAAGTTTTCTGTGGAAATAATCATACTGTGTTGTAATTATTAGTCAGGCTTGTTTATATTTCTGCAGGGCTCCCCTAGTGTTTCATAACAGCCTGAAATCCTTAATTGGCCCCTTTAAAGTGAATGTAGAGGTACGTGCCTTCATAGGATCCTGTGTTATTTGTAGCTGTTTAGGTGTTTTGCATCTTAGAGATGACATATAATACTTTAATCACATGTTGATTAAAGTATACATACAGTATTACACAATGTCTTTTAACAGAATATGCACAGGGTAGGTAAATATCTCAACTACGTACAGAATGATAATCATTTTTACACTGGTGGTGTTTTTACTGAAACTGTGCCATGTTAGATCTGTGCACGAGGCACCCGACTCCAAAAGATTACAGTCTGTTCAGAGAGCACTGACAGTTTGGTTTTGTTGTTTAGAAATGTTATTTGGTTTATGAGTGAAATGAATGGGTCAGCACACTGAGACTGTAACGGTCTTACAAAGCTCGTGTGTGTGAAGCAAAATGTATATTTCCCATCAATGTTTCTGGTTACAGTGTTTGTTTATGTATATAAGAGAAACGAGGCTGGATAAGGGATCAGGTTATTTTGAAATGTGTCTTAATCAGTGTTAAAGTAAAAATAAAACACAAAATGTATAACATGGATGATCTTTTTTTCTCTGTGACATCAGTGATGTGTATTTTACATTTGAAGATCCACCATGTCAGGCTTCAGGTGCATTTCATCTAAATGCTAAACACATTCTCAGTACAGAGCATCTGGAGAGTGCTTACAGCACTTCACTGGGTCAACATTTTGTCGTGTTACAGAATTATTCAATATTGAATTACATACATTTCTCACCTCGAAATAATGACCAAGTGAATACACTTTGAAGGTAAAAAACAAAAACAGAACATCCATCCATCCTTTTCAGGGTTGCGGGGGGTGCTGTAGCCAATCCCAGCTATCATAGGGTGAGAGGCGGGGTACGCCCTGGACAGGTCGCCAGTCTGTCGCAGGGCAAAAACAGAACATGTACATATTTATTCACAGCTTTTGCCATGACACTCAGAATTGAGCTCAGATGATCTGTCAGATGTTTCTACAAACTGATTGGACTCCACCCGTGGTAACTTCAGTTGATTGAACTTATCAGAATCAGAATCAGAATCAGAATGGGGGTTTATTGCCAGATGTTGAGGTTTACAACATTAGGAAATTGCTGCGGTGCTTCAGTGCAAACAATAAGAATTAAAGTGCTATGTAGAAAGAAAGATATGTGCATGAGATATACATGAGATATATACATGAGAATAAGACTTATGAGTGCTACGTAGAAAGATTTATATGAAAGGCACACACTTATTATAAGGTCCCATAGTTGACAGTTCATGTCAGAGCACGAACCAAGCCATGAAACCCAAAGAACTGTGTGTGGACCTTGGAGATAGGTTTGCATGGAGGCACAGATCCAGGGAAGGGGACATAAAAAAAATGCTGCAACACTGAATCTCCCAGTAACACGGCGGTCTGCAGGAATATGGACCCATGGCCCCGCCCCTCCCTGAGCCTGGTTCTGCTGGAGGTTTCTTCCTGTTTAAAGAGAGGTTTTGTTCCCACTGTCGTCAAAGTGCTGCTCATAGGGGGTCATATGATTGTTGTCTGGAGGTATTATTGTAGGC